ACTACTGTGACACATTTTCACCAGTAGCCAAGCTTAGTTCAGTGAAAGCCTTGCTTGCAGTGGCAACAGTGCAGAATTGGCACTTACATCAAATGGATGTAAGCAATGCCTTTTTGAATGAGGATTTAATTGAAGAGGTATACATGGAGATACCTCCTGGTTTGAATCTGGGAATGGACTGTAAAGGGAAGGTCTGTCATTTGCTCTATGGTTTGAAACAGGCAAGCAGACAATGGTACACTAAACTTACTGAAAGCCTTTTGAAACATGGATTCCAGCAAACCTCCTCAGACTACTCTATCTTCACAACACAAGTTCTTGGTGCACTTGTTGTCTTAATTGTTTATGTGGATGATATTTTGATTGGTAGCATCAGTTTGGAATCCATAAAAGAAACCAAAAGATTCCTACAGGGACAGTTCAAAATGAAGGATTTAGGGGAATTGAATTACTTTCTTGGATTGGATGTAACTAGAGGAATCAGGGGAATCATAGTGTCACAAAGAAAATATTGCTTGGAACTTTTACCAAAGTCTGGATTTGAAGATTGTAAGCCTGCAGCCACACCAATTATGTTAAAGAAGTACTCTATGCATCAGGGTGGACTCCTTTGGAAGATATAGCAGGTTACAAGAACTTTGTGGGTCAGTTGCAATATCTGACAACCACCAGACCAGACATTGCCTTTGCAGTCCAGCAACTATGTACTTACCAAGACAGTCCAATCACATTACACCTAAGAGCTCTACACAGGGTTCTTAGATATCTCAAGGGTTCTGCAGGGCAAGGGCTTCTTTATCCTAAGGACACCACATTGGAATTGAAGGCATACAGTGACTTAGATTAGGCCACTTGTCCAGATACTAGGAATTCTATTACTGGATACTGCACCTTCCTTGGTTAAGGAATTGTAACATGGAAAATCAAAAAACAGAAAAACTGTGTAAAGGTAATCATCAGAAGCGGAATACAGAGCCTTGGCTAGTTTAAGTTGTGAAATTGAATGGCTGATCAGGTTACTTAAAGACTTTGGAGTACAAAATCCCAAGACAGTCAATGTGTTATGTGACAATTAATCGCCAATCCACGTCGCTGAAAATTCAGTGTTTCATGAAAGAACAAAACACATTGATGTGGATTCCCATGTTATAAGAGAAAGGGTGCAATCTGGATTGATCAGTCTGCAGCATGTTCCAACAGATGTGCAACCTGCAGACATCTTCACCAAAAGCTTATCCATTGATCGCTTCACATCGTTGTTGTCCAAGCTGACGAGTATATTGTGAGAGGGTAACAAGGAGGATGGAAGATGGTTACTCTCCAACCAGTATAAATTGCTCAACATCAATGACGGTATGCAACTTTGCTCCAGAACATGAAGAAGAAACGAAGAAGAAAAAGCAGAGCAAAACGACATCGCTAAGGGAAAGCGCTGAACGAAACGGTACACTTGAGCAACGGAAAGTGTTTCCGATTTAACTGTACAGCTTTACACGTGTTAGATTGTAAATAGTAGAATTTAACAGTTAGTTGTAATTAGTCGTTAGAAAACAGTGATTAGTGAAACTATGTATATAACTATATATCGATTGATAATCAATGGAAAGCTCAATGAGCATTTTTCCCCAGATCTGATTTCTACTCAATGGGTTGTGATAGGGCTAAAGCGTAATGCTTCAATTCCTATCTTGTAGTAAATCGGAAGTCTGGGTATCGTCTCTCAGGGACTGGTACAACCTTATATTCTAACGATTTTATAGAGCAAACTATATGTGAAAATGTTTAAGTGATGAAACTACTATCTAATAATTTAACAAAAAAAGCAACTAAAATTATTGGGACGAAATCAATGGGAGAAAGCTTTGGGAGAAACACCGGGACTCACTACCTATCATATCAAAATTAATTCACATATTCCAATCAGTTTAATCCATATCTCTATGGCCGGGATATCTCTATTGTACTAGCTATCCCTTTTGGGAATTACTACGTACTAAACAATTAAATCAAATCCTACTGTCGTAGCTCATTGAGTTAATTATTTAGTCTGATGACCGATATCCCAATCAAGACCGCATAGTACCTTATTAAATCCACTGTCGATTCGAAAAGTTACTATGTCACATGAAATAGATCCAGTTAATAGGGTTTCACTGTCGCTAATAGCCTAATTAACTACAAATCATTGTATTGGTGGCCAATCAACACAAAGCAATAAGCAATTTCATGCAATAGAGATTGGAAGAAAAGAATGATGAATCAATCAATCAAATATAAAAATAGCTACATCTTATAGTGTTTACCCCATAAATTGGGGTTTAGTTCATGACGAAAATAAAACAAACAATCCTGTTTTTGTTCATCATAAAACTAATAAAAGGAAGAGACTACTAGATCATCAAACCACAGTACAATTGCTTTCGTCTTTCCACATTAGCTTGCGTGCCCGTTGCGCTCTCCTCTCATTCCACAGCTCCTATGTTTCACCTCCAAGCGCTGCTCGTACGCTCTTCTTCCAATTAATTCTCCAAAAGAATTCTCCTCCAAAGCATTTTTGTTTTTTTCCAGTTAATTCCTGGTCCGCCTCTTTTTATTCCGTACCCAGCTAATTGCTCCCCCCACTAAAAGACCAATTCCCCTCCTCCTCTTATCCCAATCCTCTTTTTCCCCCAAAGCAGCTCAACTTATTCCCCTAGGCTCCAATTAATTCCGTCCAAAATCCCCCCAGCTACTAATTAAATGGTCCGCTGGAGGGAAGAGAGTATGGGCTCTGGCCCATTAGCTGATATGTGAAATTGGGCTAGCAAAGTTGGCACGAACCGGTTGGTTTGCTTATGAGCTGGATAGCTGGTCCTTAGCCTGATTTGTTTTGCATTTGACATATGTTTGTGCATTTCTTGTTGCTTGCTTTTTTCACCTAAAATATATCACAACACTAACACATGGCTGTAATGGTCTGATAACCATTCCATAGTTAATTTGCCTCAAAACAAGCATTATATGTCTCAACATATCATGAAATAATCACATTAGGCACATTAAATCAATATGTTTTCGACAATTATCACTACCCCACACTCAATACTTGCTTGTCTCTAAGCAACGACTCAAACAAGAGAACCGATAATTGGAGGAAACACAACACAGACCAGGGAGACACAACCTTTCTCAAAACACAAGACCCACAAAACACAACATTTACACAAGAAATTTACACTTGTACTCTTGTGATAATCAGTAGTTTCTTTCTCAATTGATGAGTTGTGCTTTAATGATCATACCATTCACCCCACACTCAAGATCTTTCAACCCTTTACCATTGACTGACTCCAATCCACAAAAAACTCAAATAGCAACACTCAATTCTGATCGTCGGTAGTGGGTGATTAACAACTTATGGTGCAACAGTTATTAGGAGAATCTAACCACATCAGTGAGGTGCATATCTCGTGAGGACAATCTGGCTAACTCACACCAATCATAAGCAGTTAACTAAGATAGATGAATACAGTGAATTTTCTGCAGTCTAGTCTTAAATTGTGTTTTGAAATAGTTTAGCCAATTATCTTGATGAATTTAAAATAACAAAGCATATTTTGATAGATACACTTGGCGCATGTAAAGAATACATGCTCAATCTACGTTGTTACACTTCCAATACTCTTCAATGATTACAACGTTAAATTAATTTATATAGTATGGACAAAGATAAATTGACTAAATCACACCAAGTTATGAACACACACCTAATGAAAGCTAAACCACACAATGGTATGAAACTAAGCGCATTCAAGCTAAAGAGAGGTCATTCTAGCTAGTAATAAAACTGCCAATCAGCTGCTTGTGGTAACATAACTAAGTGCATCCAAGCATTAGCTTGTAATGGCCTTACACAAATAATTGAGGTCCTAAATCATATACGCCACACTCAGCTTGAAGAAGAGAGAACCTTAAACAACAGCTTAAATTGGCATGAGCTTCTTACCTCCCTTTAGAGTTGGCAATTCTCAATCCAATCCACTAATCCAATCCACTAATCCATTAAAAATATCCACATAATATAATTTATTTAAATCCAATCCATTTGATCCAAATCTAATTGAATTGGTGGATACATGGATCAATCCATGGATCTAAATGGCAAATTACGGTTTGGTACGTATAATTTTTATACTTTACATTTTGGTAATTAAAATTTAATTTTTTATACGAAAAATCTCATTGGAAAATTACGTTTTGGTACCTAAAATTTTTCATTACGACATTTTAGTACCTAAACTTTTCACATTTTACATATTGGTCCATGGTTGAGGATGTGATTTGGATTCATGGATAATCCACCAATCCACTTGATCCAATCCATGGATCCAATCCATTTGCCGCCTCTACCTCCCTCTGCCTCTCTAGAATACCCTCCGAAAGAATTGGACAGCTGCTTCAGCCTACTTTCTCTTTGGAGTAATGCCGAACTTGGTATCAAACTTATACATAGCGGTGGGAGATAAAGGGATGGGTGAAATGGAATTCGTTGTCTAGCCACCACGATTATCCCGCTCCGATCGTTTTCGCCAGCTATCCATCGCAATCAAATCCACGACGCTCGACTATCAATTCCAACCCAGCCCAGCTTCGTCGGCGACCACGGCTACCCAAATCCGATAACCTAGCCCAGCCTTGCCAGCGATTACGGCTACCCAACTCCGATCAATTCACCGGTCTCTCCAGCGACCAAGGATGTTGAACTCCATCTCAGCTTCACCATCGACTACCCAACTCCGATCGATTCGTCGGTCTCGTGGCCTATCCAATTCTTATCTCAACTTTGCCAGCCGCCAGAGAATTGACATAGGTGCAGAGAGGGGTGGGATGGCCCGAATAATGAGTTCTTAGGTAATCTCCAGCCGTACGACGTAGGTAGATTTGAAAAGTCTAAGGAGAAAGGTGCATGTTACTTACAGTGCACATTACAGTATTCCCCCAGACCCCTAATGCACTACTTACGCTATTTATTAGCTAATGAAATTACAAGAATTTAAATACATCTGCAAACTCGGGAACGGTTAGAGAGGGAAAAGAAACCGTGCAAACAAATCTCCTCTACAAATTCAAATGCAGGCCCATTATCAAAAAAACTTCATATCAGCAGCCCTCAAACTGATTAAAGTCGTGACCTTCAACAATGGCAGAAGAGGGAACCGAGGTCACTGGGCTAGGTGAAAACGAACTCCAAAATCTAGAGCTTCCTCGTCCCAACATCAGTGAGGGGTTAAATGGAGAGGCGACTACTGGAACGGAGGAACCTGAGTATGCACCAGATCCCTACGTTGTTGGGTGTAATGGAGAGGATGAGGTTGAATCATTGCGAACATTGACAGCCAAAGAAGTTCTCGGTCGGAAGTTCAATTGCCCCGATGAAGCACATACATTCTATAATAACTATGCGAAGGCGTGGGGGTTTTCTGTCAAGATCGATAGGATTGTTGATAAATTTGAGGTGCAACACTCTCATGAACCAGCTCGAAAACAGTGCACTCGTTACTTGAGATCGCATAGAGGATTGACTGAAGCAGATAAGGCGGACTTTCGATTCAAAACAAATGCAGGCATGAGACCTTCTCAAGTTATAAATCTGGCTGTTGAAACAGCTGGAGGGCATGACAAGTTGGGATACACAAAAAAAGATGGATATAACTTCCATAGCACAAATCGCACGGCAAGGATAAGTGGAGGTGATGCTGCAACAGCACTTGCGTATCTAGAATCGAAGAAAAGTGCAGACACTCAATTCATTTTAAGACACACTGTCGACGAAGAAAACTGACTGGAGAAGCTGTTTTGGGCAGACAGCATCAGCATTGCTGATATTTCAATTTTCGGAGACTTGCTGGCATTTGACACCACTTATAAAAGAAACATATATAACATGCCTCTTGTTATATTTTCAGGGGAACAGTTTGTCCCTTCATGATTTACATAGTTCTGGGAAACTTGTTAATGCATTTTATGCTGGTCACAGTGTTGTCTATTCACTATACATAGTTTTGTCTATTCTTGGTCCATGTTTAGTGTGGGCAGCAACGAACTTAAGTTATGCTTTATTGCTTTTCACTTTTGTAGTTGTTTATTATTTACTCTTCAGAGGAGGTATACCATAATTAGATTTAAAATCTAAGCTCAACTCTGTTTCCCTCATATCTCTACTCCAGCGGTCGTACTGAATAAAGAACTCAAGCAAATTGTGGTCCTTGTCTACATACCTTGCAATATATGCATTAATTCCCTCACATCTGGAGGTCGTTTTCAAGCCAGCAAATAAGTTAGAGCGCATGTATGTATTTGCCCATTCTCTTCGTTTATCAAACAAATATCTAAAAATCCATGAATGATTCTCCAATGAATACTTCTACAACAATGCCCTCCATTTCTCTTCAAATTCAACCTCCATATGGTCACCATCCTCAAATTTGCTCCATCCCTCCACAAATTCTGGTTTGTTCTTCACATTGCTTTTAATGTTATTTGAGAGATGCCATGCACATAACCGATGGGTTGCGTGTGGGAAGACATTCTGAATGGCATTCTGCATCACTTTGTCCCCATCTGTTACAATGGTATGAATCACTTTCTCGCCCAGCATGTCCTTTAGAATATTTAAAGCCCAGTCGTAGCTTTCCTCAATTTCGTTAACCAACACGGGGCTTTCGAACAAACAGGATTTGAAATGGTGATTGATACCTAATAAGACATCGAATGTTCAACAAATCAGGTCAAGTATTACTGACCAAAGCAGTGTAAACGCATCTTGAGAATATGGACATTTTGAAAGTCCTAAGGACCCTAGAACTAAGTGCAGCTAAGTTATTCACAAAAACAGCCTTTGATGAATTCACAAATGGATACAAGCAATTGTAGGGTTGCATCAAGAATGGTACAAGTGTTGATGGGAACTTACACATATACAGTCTGATCATGTTTATCAAAGATACGGTCCGGGAGATGAAATATAATATTAACACAAATGAGATGGAGTGGGGTTGTGGTAAGTTTACGAGTATGAGAATACCATGCACACACATGATCTTTGTGCTGAAGGAAAAAAGGGTGAAAAGCCTTCCCGAGAATTTTGCACTGAAACGATGGTCCAAGAACACAAAGTTGTTGCCCAGTATGCCACTTCCACGGATTATCGGGGATGATCATCATTTCAACAGCAGGTATGGGTCATTCTAGTTCCTGGCGATGAGGTTGTTCTTATTAGGGGCAGGTTCTCCACTCTCTTATCAGGTTACTCAGAGGGGTATTACAGCAGTTACTAACAAGTTAGAAATGATGGGAACGACCCTAGCCGAGAGAAAGACAATGGTCATACCCAAGAAGTACGAAGGTGTGCTAGACCCAAAGAAAGTAATATATAAAGGGTGTAGGAAAAGCAAGAGAACAAAGCGTCCCAAACTTAAAACGCGAAGGTGTGGTAAGTGCAAGAAAAAGGATGGACATTATAGAAATACTTGTCCTGAACTCGATGATTTCATCCCACCACCTACGCCTCCTTCATCTGATGACGACGCCAATGAGGATTGAGATGCTCCTGAGAATGATGATGGGTATAATGAGGAAGATGATGGCAACATCAATGATGAGAAAGGTGGCCAGCCCCCAAAGGTCAGTGTTCATCTTCTTAATGTTTGTGAACTATTCATTGTAAATCAATGTTGGTTGTTGACAATTATAGAATAATATCACAAGTATTGAATGCTCGTTTTTTGAAACAGTCGATGCCACGTACTAGAAGTGCTACTAAAGCCATTAGAGAGCGCGGAGAACCTAGTCAAGTACACCACACTCTAATCAACCTCCAAGTGATGAGCCTCCCTAGGTACGTCTCAGTAAAACCATGTTTTAAAACATAAATGTTATTTCGGTTAATTGTTTCATTCTATATTGTCTATGCTGTTACAGAAGAGGAGATAGTCTAAAGGTAGCAGCAAGGGAAAGAACATCATCAAACAATGATGAGGAAGCTGGGTTATATCTCATTTTGTTTAGTATTGTAGTTTTTTGGATGGATTTGTATTTGGACCTTGACAACAAATTTATGTGAGGGGCTAGTTGGCAGCTTTGTTTTGAGAATTATGACCATTTGTTCTCTACATACAAACTAGTTTCAGTCTACCGTTCATTCAAATCTTGCTCAATGGAAAACAACCAAAGAACAAGTTTATAAAAGCAGAAGAGGTACCAACCTAGAACTCGTGCTCAATGATGCTGGAGTATTTGGTGTTTACACCATATGATCAGACTGTTACAGCACCCTCTCTTCATATGCTGTTTCCATACTTGTCTTGGTCTTACCCATGATGGTTCCTGAAAAAATAAAATCATAAGATGACCCGGGATGCTCATTTACAATAATTTTTAGTGGGAGGAGCAATTTTCATGTACATCAGGAACGAATTGAGAGAATCCAACAGCATCACTGCTCTTGCATTTATATATGCTACTTAGAATTTAAGAATGAAACATACTCGGATGGGGGAACATATCTACCAAACACAACTCCCTCTTGCATTAGAGAATTGACCCGACTTGCTTCATCGATATACAAAATTCTGTCTTGCATCCTGTAAATGGCTAAAGTATCAGTAATTGACTGTGTAAGTAGGAGAGTATAGCAGAATTCACCTTATTAGAGTCCCTTTTCTACTATAGTTTTGCTTCAATCTTTCCCACAGCAACACTCGAACCAGCCTGTGTAGTTAGAAAGCTGACATAGTTTCAGTGTTTTAATGATGATAACAGAACCTCTATACAAAAGCTAATGGGAAAGTCCATCCATTACCATTCACAACCAACAGGAGGTAGTAGGTACTAACTTACAAAACTTGTTGAGACTTCTTGTTGAGATGCAGAATAATTGCCTTGCTGCTCAATTCAAAAGAACAATTTCATAGATTGAGGGAGACAAACAGACAAAGCATTAAAAAGCAAAGAAGATCTGAAACCCATAAAATTTGTTCAAATTTAAAAGGCGAGATGAGAGACGAAGAAGGAAAAACATAACTCATCACTAAATTTCTTTGAATTCATCGTCAAAGCTATCATCATAATCAGCAAACTAGAAATGATCCTTGAGACCATGATACTTCCCTTCATTCCCCTTTTCCCACTTGTCCCAACCAGAAACAACCCCCACTAACCTTCAACCTAACTCTCTCTACACCTTCCTCTTCTAATTAGGTAGGAATTTAGCTAGACCATGATTTTACCAAATTTCATCCAAGACGTGTAAATTATTTATGTAACCATGTCACCATTGCATAACTTAAAATGATCCAAAAATTGGAATAAAGCCATAGGTTATAATTCATGTGGTATAGAAGGGACGAGGATGTTACCTTGTATATGTATTTTACAGCTTTAAAGTCCATTTGAGTGAGCTACACACTTCTTTATATGGATATGGCGTTTACCTTAGTTAAATATCGTTTTGGTTATAACGTATAACTGACATACTATTTTTTTCACAGGATTCACTATCCGCTTGATTAGAGTCATGGAGAAAAGTAAACACGATGATGTTTAATAATAGTATATCTAATGGTGAGGCAAACTCTAACCTTTTTTCTTTAAAAGAACTCGAACTGCTCGGGTTATACTGCACATATTTTATTTATCTCAATCAACTTCACTAATGGACAACACTATATTATGTTGTTTAAAATCAGTCAAATAATCTATAATTGAAAATATTATATACGCAATTTATTTGCTATTTTAATATTGAAAACCTAATAAATTTGATTTTTGGTGAATTGAAAAAAGTAATAACCATCCATTCTCTAATTCTTAAATTTTGGTTTTTACCTTCTCGGAATTGCATTTTTTTCTGCCAAAAATATTGATGTCTTTTGAACAAGATCTGGTTCGTCCCCCATAAACGTTTCCTTCATTCTGACTCCCCATTCTCATTCTATGTTGCATGTCGTCAATCTGAGAGAGAGAGAGAGAGAGAGAGAGAGGAGATGGCGGTTCCGCATTGTTGCCGACGAGTAGAGAGAGAAAGAGAGTTGACGATTCCAATCATTCCATCGATTGGCGACGGCGGTTCCGCGTTGCTGCCGACGAGTAGAGAGAGAGAGAGTTGGGCGGAGATGCTCCAACTAGAAGATAAAGAGTTTCATAGTAATCTCGCATTTCCTTATCCTTTTCCTTCCCCGAATTTTTGGTTTTTATTTTCGGTTCTTTGATTTCCACTTTGTTTGGCACGAGCTGCATACAAAACAAATCTGGATTGGTAAGAGCGGCAGCTATGGTCCCATTCCATCGGATTAAAAAGGCCCCTAAGAAACGATTGCAGGTAGTTGCTATGCAATATTTCTTTTTGTTTCTTTGAGTTCCTTTTCAAATTAGGACATGACTGGACACTCCCCAATTACCGAGTCCAAACTAGGGTTTCTGACCTCGTTTCTTTGATCTCATTTTATTTTCATGTTGATTTGGGGCTTGCAAATCGGAGGAGGAGGACGAAATGGGACTGATTAACCGTTTGATGTTTCTGGAAAATCGATTTGGAGTCTGCGAAGCTGGTTCACTTTGTCGGTGGCCGAAGGTGTGGCTTGTATGTATTCTTCTTTTGGTTCCCTATTCCATGAGTGTCTATTAACAAGTTTTCTCTCTTTAGGTTTCTGGATACGACTTGTTATTTGTTTGGGTACATAGGGTGTTCTTGTTCGTGCGATTAACAAAATTGGCTTGCAACTGCGCGGAGCAAATGGCCGTGATGATGCTCCACTTAAAGCCTCAAGTATTTTGTAGTTTGGCGAACATCTTTAACCTTCTTTGAACATCTTAATCATTGGTTAGATCACACCATGTACGAATGATGGGATCCACAAAATATCGTTATCTGGATGTGATGTCCGGATTTTCTGCTTGGGAGTAAGGATAGTGAAGCGGCGTACACTTCAACAGGTAAGTGTTGACACTGTCTGAGCATAGTTGCTTGAATTGTTGATCCAGAACCAACTCTTCTATTAATTTTTAACCGTTTATTCATTTGTGCAGCAGCTTCCTTGATGGGTGATGTTAGGGAGATTCATTAATTGGATTTCGGGCCCTGTCCGATCTAATATGAGAACTGGTGGGCGAGTAACAAATCTTGTTGTTACTTCGTCTTTGCTTGAATCTGTAAGACTTCAAGACCACGTTTTCTATTGGTAGATTTGTGTTCGTCCAGCTAAAATGATATAGTCTATTTTATTTGTTATGCCCTTTCCTTTACTAGGCTCATCGACAAGCTTTTCAGACACCTCAAAACGAAGATGAAGAAGACAACAAAGTTAAAAGCAAAGCACATGGAAGAGGAGTCTTGACATGGCCGAAGCGTTATGCCAACTGCAGCCAGTGGTTGACCGGCCGCCCGCCAACTTCCTCAAAGAGAATATGAAGAGGACAACAAAGTTAAAATCAAAGCAGCCTTGCAAAAAATGCACGAGGTATGTCCTCGAATAGCTAAGAACTCATTTCCAACTCTCTAGGTTCATCAAACCAAAAAATGAACCGTCAAAGGCTACACTGTTTGTAAATCAACCAAGATAAAATATTCTGTCCCATCAAATTTAAAGAACAAATAAAAAAAACTAAGTACTTTTCAACTCCTTGTTGTGGATGTGGTTCAACTTCTTGTTTTGGATGTGTTTCAAAGATAAAAGAACTTTAAAGATGTAACTTTTAGCAAAGGCTCTCATTTAATATATACAGTAGGATGCATTAGATTAATTTAACTACAAAAACATGTTGGGTCCGCTCAGATTGGCATTCATAACACAGAGTAGAAGGCTCCACACTAGGTTTTGTATGCTTATTTGATTTTCTTTGCTGCTGCTGATGTGTCACAGTACTACTCCTAGTACGTAGCCCAGCCTGTTACAAGAGGATAAATTAACTCTTAAGCTATTAGTTACTTCTAACAATGTCAGAAATTTGTGAACAAGTAATTGTGACATAACCTTCTGTAGTGGCTTAACGTTTTTGTTAGGCTGCACATTATTACTGCTCCTGCTGCTTCGTTGCTTCTGATATAACCAAAATAACATAATTAATTATCAAGACCGTTTAATTATAACAAGAGCACCGAATATAGATGCTAATTACCTTTCGGGGTTGACCTCCTTGGTCATCATCATCGTCCTCATCGTCTCCCTCTTCTCCATCATCTTCTCTGTCATTGTCCTCCTCCTCCTCATCTGACTGAGATTCTGTCACGTCGGCTGGGGGGTTCGTACAAGTGCTCCTATAATGCCCATCCCTTAGCCCATATCTTCCACACTTTCTTCTTTTTTTCTTTTGCTGTTTTTTCCCTTCTCCTTTCCTACAACCCTTAAACCTCACTTTATTTGGGTTCAATACATCTTTGAACTTGTCGGGTATGAAAATTCTTTCTCTCTCGGCGGGGGTTTTATTCAGCATCTCCAACTTGTCGCTTTCTGCTGCCAACACTGCTTGAGCTTGACGAAAAGAGAGAGGAGAGTCTGCCCCCAATAAGCAAAATCGCATACTCAAAAATTGTAGAGTCCCGTACCGAATGTTGAAAGTGCTGTCATCCCCCATTGCACCTAGTTCTCGAAGAGTGTCTAATGACTTGGGGTTCTTTGAGCAACGTCTAAGTACCAGCTTTTCAGGAAAAGTCTTAACCTTTTCTTCTTTTAGAATAAAGATCATATGCGTGCAGGGTATTCCAGTACTCTTAAACTTTTCACAACTGCACTCCATATCGTGCGTTTCAATGTTGTATTTCACTTCCACGACCTTCCCTTTGTTGAACATGGATAAAGTGTAGATGTGTAAGTTCCCTTCTTCAGTTTGCTTGTCCTTTATGCATCCAATAACCTTTGCAAGCTCTTTTTCGAATTTAAGAAATGCAGCTCTTGAGTATAACTTAGCTGCACTTTCCTCAAGCGGCAATAAGATTGAATTCTGGACTGGTGATGCACCGTAATTCGATTCAAAATCCAATCTAAGCTCTGTTTCCCTCATATCCTTGAGCCGACGATCATAATGAATGAAAAAGTCAAGTAAACTGATCCTCTCACCGCCATACCTAGCGACAACTGCATTTATGCTTTCACATCTTGATGTGGTTGTCAATCCAGCAGAGAAGTGAGAGCGCATATTTGTGTTTGCCCATTTAGTGCGTCTACCAAACAGTTTTGTGGACACCCATTGGTTGTTTTGTAGGCTGCATTCTTCTATCAATGCCTCCCACTTTTCCTCAAATTCAACTAGCTCATAATCAGCAGTTACAAACTTGCTCCATCGGGGTTCAAATTTCGGACTTTTCTTCACCCTGCTAGTAATATTCTTGGACAGATGCCATGCGCATAACCTGTGTGTTGCATCTGGAAACACAGTAGCAATGGCATTCCTCATTGTTTTATCCCCATCCATGACAACCGTATGTAGCTGCTTTTCACCCAACATTTCCTTCAATATATTCAATGTCCATGTGTAGGTTGTTTCGGTCTCGTTAGGCAATACTACACTCCCGAATAAGCAGGACTTGAAGTGATGATTGATACCTATATGCATTGTAGGAAAACAAAATTCAAAATAACAGAAGAACGGGGTGGATGTAGAAGCTGAGAAAAAACCACTTCAGAAACCCATTTGGGATCACCCTCGATTCAACAATCAGCCAACAAACGACTAAGATGGCCATTGTTAATATGACCACCTGCCAACCTAATTCTAGTTTCTGCTGGCTTGCTAGCTCACTATTTTAGTGAGAGTTGGCGTCTCACTTTATATAATAGATCTTGAACTTCATCTAACTATTGAAAAAACAATACAGCTTTTCTTGTCTTCTTCCCTCCATTATTCTAAGGCTTGAACTTCGTGGAAAAGAAAAAGGGAATACATGCCTATTTGAACCAAAAGGGCGATCAATTAACCTCCATTAGACAAGTACAGTAAATACAAAATACGTATATAGGGTGCTCTTACCTATGAAAATAACAAGGGGCATATTGTAAATGTTTTTCCTGTACATCGTGTCAAATGCGAGCAGCAAACCAAACCATGAAATGTCAGCTAGGCTAATGTTGTCTGCCCAAAATAAACTCTCTAGCCTTTTCACATTGTCAATAGTGTATCGGAGGATGAAGTGTGGGTCCGTGCTTTTCTTTGATTCCAAATAGGCAAGTGTTGTAGCTGCATCACCCTCGCTGTTCCTTTCATTGTGATCTATGCTGCTGAAATTATACCCATCTTTGACTGTGTACCCAAGTTTGTGATGCCCTCCAGCAGTATGAATAGCAAGTCGCATCACCTGGGAAGGTTTCATATCGGCATCCTTTTTAAATTGAAAATCCTCTTTGTCTGCCTCTGTTAAACCTCGATGCGATCTTAGGTGATGTGTCCAATTATGTTTAGCTAGTTCATGACTGTGTTGTACTTCAAACTTATCGACTGCCCATTTTCCATCATTTTTGTTCAATGCCACCCGCATCCTTGCTTTGCACCCAAATCTGGTCAGCATGGGAGATTCTCGCTTTTTGTCCCCTTTCCGTGGGGCTCTCTTTCCATCACAGGAACACACGAAAGCTGCACTAGTAACCTCTCCCTTGGTATTTTTAGCTGTTTTTGAGCGCCTAACAGAAAACCCCCAAGCCTTTTCATATGCATTGTAGAATGTATATGCTTCTTCACGATCATTGAACAGCTGACCGATAAAAGGGCAATTTTCAAGCGCACCTCCCATCCTTGTTTGTTCTCCATTAGAGGCAGCATTGGTTACCGTTTCTGTTTCCTCTAATATGACAGTATCATCTGCTTCTGACTCATTAGCCCGATCTTGATCTTCTTCCATTGCTTCTAATATTACAGTATCATCTGCTTCTGACTCAGTAGCCCGATCTTGATCTTCTTCCATTGCTTCTACCAATATTTCTCGTTTTAACGTATCGGCAAAGCAGAAAAAAGAGGAGAGGCTAGTTTTAGGGCGGAGGCGGCTAGCAGACGTGAGTCTTGGGGTTTATTTCTCTTTATGCGATTTCGTGGGTGATTACTAATTTACCTTTAGTACTTAACTTTTTGTCTACTTGCTAATCATTATAAAATACTTTATTTTTTGTCTACTTCCCTGATTGTTAATTATATTCGGAAAACTTTCTTTTCTTTATGTTCTCTCGCAGAGACCTGAATCTGTAAAAGTTGATGTTATGGACATTAATGGTGCAAGGTTTAGTATCAGCTTGTTGGGGCTTTCAGCACGGGTTTTCCAGCATGAGTTCGACCATTTGGAGGTGCTGAGAAACGAAACAAAAGAATGACAGAGGGAGATGTGGGGAAGAAGATGATTCACGCCTCCCGAATACGGCGTTGTTTTGCATAAAAATGTCGTAACCAGTTGTAGGGTTTCGTCTGGAGGAAAAAAAGGATTTTATTAACCGATCTGCTTTTGGTGGTGTTATTGCAGCTCGATGGCCTTCCCTTGTGTATGCTTCGATATGAATTCTCCGAGCATGCTCCTAAATTTACTAGGACACATTGTTAAGTAATAGACAGTAAGCACGGGCCTCAACAATGCATGAAACTAAGAGCGGACTAACAAGGTAAAATATGGTGTCTAGCCACGTAACTTGGGAAAACCGAAGGCATGCAAAACAAACTCTAGTGTATGCCTAAAAAATTGTCAATGTACCACAATAATCGATACTATGGAACTAAACATTTGGGGAAAGGATTATCAAACAATAAATAAACTAGTTCAACAAATAAAACAAGAAACAAAAAAAATTTAAAGGTATGCATCTCCATGCATGACAGCCATATCTTTGAGGATCATGTCCAGAGCAAGCCTATTTCGTATCCCATCGACACAAGGCTGTGTACACACGAAAATAAGTAAACATTAGAAAACAAACCTTGCATTTCAATTGTCAAACAAATATCATAACAGACCAAGATCCCTTACCTCGACATCATATCTTCCCAAGTTACTTGAGAACCTCATCCATAAGCAAACCCACATGCCACCATCAAATCTAATACAAAAAGCTACTTCATAAGTTTATGCTTAAATCAAATGTTTCATAGTGGTATCAAACAAATATGTCCCCCCTTACTTGTTTGATTGTATAGGAACCCCATCAGGAATAACCAGCTGAAACGCACTAATTTTCGGCAGCGCCTTCATTGTACCCAATTCAAAGTACAACTTAAGGAATAAATCATGTAAAACATTCATCTACAAAACCATGTGAATATTACTCAACCGAAGAAGGAATATAAACCAATTAACTATAAAGCTACACTAGTTTACTAACCATATGGCGTACGGTCTTCCTACGAAACTCATTGTTGTTTGCCCTAGGTGCTGAGTCGACCAAATGAACTTCTTCTAATTCCATCATTAGCACGGACAGGTACCAATGCTTACCATCCTTCAATGGTAGATAGATCTGACAAATGTCGACATTAAGATCACCAACATAGAACAAATTATAAGGGAAAAACATGTACACAATACTTCTTGAATTGTTAAAGAAGTACCTTGTTGCATCCGTAGGCATTGCGCAAGTAGCTGAATCAATAATCATTGAATACACTATCAACAGTATAGACATACTTCTGTACTCCCACCTAGAAGTTCGCTTTGGGAAATTAATAAGCGAAAAACAGTATGTAATAAAGAAAAAATAAGAATTTATTAGCAGTGTTCCAGATTTGCATGCATACATTGAAATGACCTTCAAACATAAAACATAAAGGCTTAACAGTGAGGTACGAGTGCATTCAATTTAATATTAATAACATATAACAAGTTAATGACCCAATTTACCTCATCATCTAGGTACTCGTTAGGCAACAAGCTCCACAGTGAGCTACGAGTACAAGACTGAGAACCATTCTTGACTAGAATCTTCTTAGTAGCAAGATCTTCCACAAAGATGTAATATGCCAGTCCAACCTCCTCTGAAGTCAACTGCATGCTACTAGTGATCGGAAACTCCATCACGACCTAACACACAAAAGCCAAATAGTAACAAATGAGATACATTGCATAAAACTAAGCACTTCTAAATTCTGATATAGTACCAGGAATACCTCAGAATTATTTTTCAAGTCAGGCTCATCATCATCATCATCATCATCATCATCATCAATGATAATGATATTAGAAATTGGTGTCGCATCGCCATCTCTAAACTCAAGCCTCCTCCTTGTAAGGTTCTGTCAATTTTGAGCAAATAATAATAGCACTAAGTGAAAAGTTTGATTTGATTTTTTTTAATGATGGGGACAACCACTTTATTATCGCTATTATAAAAAGAAAAAGATGTACAAATCATGGATCACTATACCAAATTAGCTAGAACCTAAGGAGCCACGACCATACAAAAAGACAAACAAAGAAAACATACACTAATCCACCAAACTAGATGACAAAACAAGGAACAAAAGCCAAACAGAAAATCAATAGCACTATGAGTTACCAACAACTACACAACACCAGAAGCTAAGAAACCACTACAAAACATAAGCTGTAAACGCTATGCTTAAAGGCACGCAGAACAAAAAATGATAATAAAACACAAGCAGAATACATATCAAACCTTGTGTTGTGAAGAATTTCCTATAAGGATGTTATTGATTTTTGGGCTTTTTTCAATAGCCATATATTCCGCCAGCCTCTTGCCCCTAATTTCAATTGTGAAACAAACAATTTTCACCAATAATAGGTAAAGTTATACATTGGCAACAATGGATGCATACAAAATCAGGAACAAGGTAAACTAACAATGGCCATTACTCGACTTTTCGATCCATGTTCCTCGGCAAAACTTTGACTAACAAAATAACACGGTGGAAAACTATAAAACAACAATTCATATAGGTTTTTGTCAAATCCAACAGCTAAAAAGACCATATATATAACACCATCCTTCATCATAATTCAACTGACTTGTCATTTACAATGGGAGATGGAAGATAACTATCTAACATTAAAAAAAAATAAGGAAAAAGGAAGTTTAACAGCAGAGGAACCTTAGACTTCGCACACAGCTGAAAAGCAAAGATGAGAATAACGCAAATAAATAAAAGAGAAGCAAAAACTCATTATATATAAGGCAAACAAATAAGGATATTCGTCCAATTAAAGGAACTTTCGCTTTCCCCGCTAAACAGGGCTTAAAAAAGCCTACCTAATAAATATATTTCCTTTTAATTTTCAACCATACATTAGTTACTTTATATGCAAGCAAATACCCTAAGTTTTTGGGATTCTTCCTTTGCATACTTATTATACGCCCAAATTGGGTCTCTAATTAAACAAGACAGATATGACAGTAGAAGATAATTAATCAAAAGTTAGTCACAGTATACCTGTCAGTGAGTTTTCCTTCAATTTGTCTTATATCGTTGCTCTACGGTCAGGGTTCTGAACCACTCGACAATCAACCGTATCCCATTGCAGTAAAGTGCCATGTCAAGAATTGATCACTTTATAGCTGCCCTGGAATTCTACATTCGGCTTTTGCATATTACTCAACTAGAGCAGAATGCAGCAGGGACTTGCAATTTTGCAGTCAAGGTGAAGGTTTCCTGGAGCCATTCCTCATTTTTGACTTCCAATCCTCCAGTTGTAGATGTTAGGCCTGCAGCAGACGCAAAATTCACCATCAGATTATTGCATTCTTTAACCTTGTCATAATATATGTTCAAGACCCTACACTTAAACGGTATAAACCCACCAATTTCACTAATTTTCATCATGATTTTAACCTTACTCCACCCTCTGCGAGAACCCAATACTTCCCACCGCAGGCTTCTCAGCCTTCCAGGAACATAGAAGCTCTATCAAGCTGATCACTAGCCCCTTCCACTTTCTCACTAATGCTCAACATTAGAGAACCAGTTCAATTGATTCTCAATAGCATAGACCCGGACACAATTTCGGCTGCGGAGGGTAAAATGAGACTTAGGGAGCTTTGAAAATGACAAAATCATTACCGATTAAGGCACACATGGCTACCAATTTGACTTCTCCATCTGCAATCTCCCAATACCTTACCCATGTGCAGCCGCTGCCTCCGCACCGCCATCTCCATCAATTCCGTCTTGGTCGTCCGCCCTTCCTGATGTGTGGCCGCATCTCCGCACCGCCATCTCCATCGATTTCTTCTTGGTCGTCAACCCTTCCCCATGTGTGGCCGCGTCTCCGCACCGCCATCTCCATCGATTTCGTCTTGGTTGTCAACCCTTCCCCCAGCTTTACCATGTGTGGTCGCGTCTCCGCACCGCCATCTCCGTCGATGACAGGGATAGCGATGAGAATGAGAAAGAATAGAATTATAGACGATGGGCGAAGTCTGGGGAATTTTGATGGTCTTCAAGGAGGAGAGGAAAGGGATCGTCAAATGCAATTGGGGCTAGATAAATAATTGGGAAAGAAGCACAAAAGTGAAAGGTGTTCTGTGTAATGCGAAAGATAATATAAAAAGATATGTAAATTTTGGGTGTTTAAATCATGATTGGAAGATATTAGGTATAGTATTATAAAAAGAAATGAAAATTACTTATGAGGATTAAAGAGCACGTCTATAAATATAAAGGGTCCAATTAGTCATATATAAATCATAATTAATAAATCAGTTAATTATTATTTATATTAACCGTTAGATTAGATCAACGGTTTACAGAACCTGGAGCATACTATACGTTTGGAGCACAACAGCGTGACCCATATATATATATGGTGACATTTTCGGTGCACTCACTTTTTTGGGTGCATTCAGTGCACTCGCTTTATAACCGTCATTTTAAACATGCGATTTATGTCAAAATATTGTCAATCATCACTTATGATGTGATGAAAAATAACGCACATGAATTTGCACAAAAACCATTGAAGATTTATTTTAATTTGAAGGATTTAGAGGTTTAGGATTGGGGTTAGGGTTTACAATTTGGGGTTTAGGGATAGAACTCAAAATTGGAGGTCTAGGGCTTAGGGTAATCCGCTGATTAGTTGTTATCAATGTTATATCATCATATTACACTAATTCTACAAATTCAAATCAAAATCCGACACCTTAAAACTATTTTTGAGTTGGGTGCATTGAACACACTCATTTTTGTGAGTGCACCGAAGTAGCCACCATATATATATACGTGTGTGTGGTTAGTAGCATTTTATACCCCTATGCTATTGCAAGTTAACAAACATACCCTATACTATTTTTTGGCACAAATATGCCCTTCTATTATCGAAACGTAACAACCATATCCTTCTGTCAAATAAGTCGTTAACTAACCATTAAATGTTATGTAAAATGACTAATTTGCCCTCATTATAATTTTGGTTTAATTATTATAATTTTGGTTTAATTTTTATAATTTTAAAAGTAATGACAACTATCCTTTTTTATCTTTCATTCTTCTGTATCGGCCGTAAATCCGTAATTCTTATCCTTCCCTTTCACTATTGAGCATCTCCTCTTCTTCATTCACCCCGCTCACCATCGTTCATCATCAGCTTCGACGACACCGACCCCAACTAATCCTCCACTACACAGCTTTCCTTCCGAAGCCACTACTCCACTAGCACTCAATTGTTCATCGGCGGAGGTAGGAGCAGACTTCGGCGGGTGTCAACAATGAGCACAAACCAGTTCCAGATTTCAAGGTCGGAGATTTCGGTGGGGGGTAATGACTAATGACTGTATCAGATTCTACCTGCTCCGCTAATTCTTGTGAACCTAGAAATTGCATTAAATGATCATCATCACTTTCAATATATTTGTTCCTTCGATTCTTTGGTCCCATGGGAATTGCCGAAGATGCTAATGAATCGGCGGTGGGTTGAGTTTTGTGAAGAGGAAGGAAATTGGTGGTAGGGGTACTTCTATATGCTCTGAGATTTGTGTGGCACATGATGTACAGATCTGGGTGCTAGGTAAACTTTCGGGCGGGCTTTTGATTGGGGACTGACTTGTGGGTTGTTCGGATGACCCGCCGTCTTGCGCTTACTCTGAGTTCCAAGGTGCAGGATGGACGACGACCGCATGCAGCTGAACCTTGGCTCGCCTTTGCCGGAGTGGCCGCTCTTCTGTTGGGATTTAGGGATAAGAAGGTCGGAGACTTTCCCGGAAACAAAGTAATTACTTAGGAATAAATGAATAGTTGTTGTTACTTTTAAAATTATGAAAATCAAATCAAAATTATAACGAGGGCAAATTAGTCATTTTACATCACATTTAACGGCTAGTTAACGAAAATCTTGATAGAAGGATATGTTTGTTATGTTTCGATAATAGGAGGGCACATTTGTGCCAAAAAAAACAGTATAGGAGTATGTTTGTTAACTTACAATAATAGAGGGTCAAAAAATGCTATTAACCCATATATATATATATATTGATGGCAAATTACTTTATGGTGCTTATAAAGTAAATTGCAAATCAATCATCAAACTCTCCAGTTATATAATTTCTAAGTTGAACATTTGTGTCTTAATGTTATATGTTGGCTTTAATTATGTTTGATTTTTTTATTATATATTTAAGTATGAATTATTAATTTGGGTTATGTTATTAGTTTTTTCATGTGACACTTCGTATAATTTATATATGTGTGCATGATATAGTAACTTTTTCAAATATTTGGACTAAACCGGGCTAAAACGATCAACCTATTAACCCTTGACCCATTAGCTAGACTGGGCCAATGGGCTAAACCGGGTTGACAACCTCGACATCGAATTATCAATAAAGAGAAGAAGAGGAAAAAAGGATCAATAAATTAAGTGGGTATTAGGGTAGGTAGGTGGGTGATTTGATTTTTTCAATTTGAGAGGGAAATGTGGGCGGGCTCGGGAAAAGGTAGTGGGGTCCTAGGGTAAATGAAAATTTGGTTGGGGGAGAGGGAATTTCAAGTTTTGGGAGGGTAGAAAATTTGGGTCTAAAAATTGGGAGGGATTGAAAAGTGGATAGTTAAAAATTGGGCGGGACTGAAATTTCAGTGGGGAAACTGAATTGTGACTATATAATTTGTCACTTTTGTGTCTCTTACATTCCGATATGGGATGCCTATTTTGACAAACTTAATTTTGACATAAATTATTTGTCACATTACTCATTTTAAATGAAGAATTATTCTGACAACAAGAAATTTGTCACTTTTGAGTCTCTTACTTCCCGATATGGGGAACCTATTTTGACAAAATTAATTGTGACACCAAATATTTGTCACATTACTCACTTTAAATGACGACTTATTCTGACAACAATTTTTTTCACATTATGCATACCAAATATGACGTATATTATTTTTGTCATATCACCGTACCTATTATAACAAACATAAAATGACAAAATAAAATTTTTATCCTAATAAGCCGAATTTGTTGTAGTGAACACTTTCAGGTGTTGTTGTCCTTTATCAATGAGGACATTGGGATTCTTTGGGCATAGTTTCAGGTGTCTTCGTAGTGTTGATGTAACCGCTAAGGGATCTACTTTGTATTTCTTCATCCAATGTATGCATTGATCTCACGCACCTTAGATTGCTCATATTTGAAATTCTGCATAGAGGCAACATACTTTCAGCTTGCATAAGAGTTGACGAGAGGCTTAAGTGTTGTTGTCCTTTATCAATGAGGACATTGGGTTCTTTGGGCATAGTTTCAGGTGTCTTGGTAGTGTTGATGTAACCGCTCAGGGATCTACTTTGTATTTCTTCTTCCAATCTATGCATTGGTGCTTCTTGACACCGGCTGCCGTCACATTCTTGAAGCCTTCCCAAACTACTGAAGTTTTCTTTCTCACATTTCTTGAATATGGATTTTCTTCCTCATCATTTTCTTTCTGATCAGATGCTGGATTTTGGGTTGCATTCTTGAGATTTGCAGGATTAGAAACAGAATTGGCAATTGATGGATTTGGATTGGAAGACATTGCTTCAGACATTCTGTGACTAATGAACTTAAATTGACTCGCCAACATAGAAGCTCTGTACATAGCAGCTAATCGAATTTCCTTGTGAGCCACACAGTTAAGTTGACAAATGAACTTAAATTGACTCGCCAGCCACGTTACCAAGAGAGCTACCTTGTGCGAGCTAACACGCGAGTCACACTATCGAGCCAGCTTGTGAACTTCAAACGAGTAAGCTCGCAGCCTAGCTCAACGAGCCATCGATCCGAGCTAGCTTGCGAGCCTACTCGAGTTGCAAATGTCTTAGCTCGTGCTGGCTCATTAACAAATGAGCCGGCTCACGAGCCATCTCATTAAGAATTGAGTCGAGTGTCGAACGAGATTTTATCGAATTGAGCCTCGAGTTGCTCGCGAGTAACTTGGCTCGTTTGCGGTCCTAGATATTACCCATGTTCTTAAGACCAAAGATCTTGGTGAGATTAAGTACTATCAGGCTTAGAAGTGGCTCGCACCCCTACTTGTTTTTCAATTTGTTAAAGAAAATATATTTTGGATTTGCTAAATGATGCAGGGTTACTTGCTTCAAAACTTTGCCGCCACATATCTTGCTACTGAAATCAGTTGTCCATTTATGATGGTGAACCAATTTCTGGCCCTGAACTTTATCGTAGATTTGTAGGACATCTATTGTACTTATGTCATACTCATCCGTATATAGTTTTTGTTGTGCATCACATGAGTTAGTTTATGAGTAATCCTTTTAGTAGTCATCTTAAAGCTGCATATAGGGTTTTCGTTATATTATTAGTATTATTATATATATATATAAAAAAGAACAACTAACCAAATTACTATTGCATAGTGTCTCATCACAAGGGGTGGTCATTTGTAATTGACCAAAGTTTGGAGAGGTTTTATGCCATTAAGGTACTAATTAATTAACTTACTACAATTGAACCCAAATTGAACCCAAATCAATGGTTGTTCTACCTACTTTGATCCATTTTAAGCGAGTTGAACCCAGTGTTTATAAATTTGTGCTTTGATCATTGATTTAACTTATGACAATTAAATCCAAATTGAACCCAAATCAATGGGTGTTTGACCTACTTTGACTCAGTTTAAGGCAAGTTAAACCCGGTGTTGACGACTTTTTGCTCAACAACGAGTTTTGCACGCTTAATTCATTGAAGTTTGAATTAGTTAACTTATGGCAATTGAATCAATCTATATAAAAGAACAAGTAACCAAGTTACTATTGCATAGTGTCCCATCACAAGAGGTGGTCATTTGTAAGAGGTTTTATGCCATTAAGGTACTAATCAATTGAACCCAAAAGTTTGGAGAGGTTTTATGCCAATAAGGTACTAATCAATTGAACCCAAATCAATGGTTGTTCTACCTACTTCGATCCATTTTAAGCGAGTTGAACCCTATGTTTATAAATTTGTGCTACCTACTTTGATTCATTTTAAGCGAGTTGAACCTAATGTTTATAAATTTGTGCTTTGATCATTGATTTAACTTATGACAATTAAATCCAAATTGAACCCAAATCAATGGGTGTTTGACCTACTTTGACTCGGTTTAAGGCAAGTTAAACCCGGTGTTGACGAATTTTTGCTCAACAACGAGTTTTGCACGCTTAATTCATTGAAGTTTGAAGGAGGTTCGAATTAGTTAACTTATGGCAATTGAATCAATCTATATAAAAGAACAAGTAACCAAGTTACTATTGCATAGTGTCCCATCACAAGAGGTAGTCATTTGTAAGAGGTTTTATGCCATTAAGGTACTAATCAATTGAACCCAAAAGTTTGGAGAGGTTTTATGCCATTAAGGTACTAATCGATTGAACCCAAATCAATGGTTGTTCTACCTACTTCGATCCATTTTAAGCGAGTTGAACCCAATGTTTATAAATTTGTGCTTTAATCATTGATTAACTTATGGAAATTAATTCCAAATTGAACCCAAATCAATGGGTGTTGACCTACTTTGACTCGGTTTAAGACAAGATAAACCCGGTGTTGACGAATTTTAGCTCAACAACGAGTTTTGCATGCTTAATTTATTGAAGCTTGAAGGAGGTTCTAATTAGTTAACTTATGGCAATTGAATCAATCTATATAAAAGAACAAGTAACCAAGTTATTATTGCATAGTGTCCCATCACAAGGGGTGGTCATTTGTAATTGACCAAAGTTTGGATAGGTTTTATGCCATTAAGGTACTAATTAATTAACTTACTACAATTGAACCCAAATTGAATCCAAATCAATGGTTGTTCTACCTACTTCGATCCATTTTAAGCGAGTTGAATCCAGTGTTTATAAATTTTTGCTTTAATCATTGATTAACTTATGACAATTAAATCCAAATTGAACCCAAATCAATGGGTGTTTCACCTACTTTGACTCGGTTTAAGGTAAGCTAAACCCGGTGTTGACGAATTTTGGCTTAACAATGAGTTTTGCACGCTTAATTCATTGAAGTTTGAAGGAGGTTCTAATTAGTTAACTTATGGGAATTGAATCAATGGGTATTTGACCTACTTCGATCTTGTTAAAGCAAGTTGAACCCGTTGTTGGCGAATTTTGGCTCAACAACGAGTTTTGTACTCTTAGTTTAAGCGAATTCAACTCGGTGCTTACGAATTTTGCCTCAACAACGAGTTTTGTGATTTAACCATTGAAGTTTGGAGGAGTTTTTGTGCCATTGAAGTTCTAATTGATTAACTTATCAAAATTAAATCTAAAGTTCTAATTGATTAACTTATGGCAATTAAATACAAATTAAACCCAAATCAATGGGTGTTCGACCTACTTCGACTTGGTAGAAGCAGTTGAACATGGTGTTGACGAATTTTGGCTCAGCGACGAGTTTTGCATGCTTAAATGATTGAAGCTTGGAGGAGTTTTGTGCCATAGAGGTTCTAATTAGTTAACTTATGACAATTGAATCAATGGGTATTCGACCTACTTCGATCCAGTTAAAGCAAGTTGAACCAGTTGTTGTCGAATTTTGGCTTTAACAACGAGTTTTGTACGCTTAAATCATTGAAACTTGGAGGATATTTTGTGTCAAGGTTCTAATTAATTAAATTTTGACAATTGAACCCAAATTAATGGGTATTCAACCTACTTCGACCTGGTTAAATCGAGTTGAACCCGTTGTTGACGAATTTTGCCTCAACAAAGAGTTTTGCAGTTGAATCATTGAAGCTTGTAAGAGTTTTTGTGTCTTTAAGAATTTATTTAATTAATCTATGACAATTAGTTCCAAATTGAACCCAAATTAATGAGTGTTCGACCTACTTCGACCCGGGTTAAGCAAGTTGAACCCGGTGTTGACAAATTTGCCTCAACAACGAGTTTTGCACGCTTATTTTATTGAAGCTTGGAAGAGTTTTTTGCCATAGAGATTCTAATTAATTAACTTATGAAAACTGAATCCAAATTGAACCCAAATCAAAAAGTATTCGACCTTCTTCGATCCGGTTTAAGCGAGTTGAACACGTTGTTTGCGAATTTTGACTCAATAACGAGTTTTTCACTTAAATCATTGGGTATTTGACCTAATGTCGACCTGGTAAGATGGGGCACTGTTTCTTAGTGTCCCGTCAACTATGATTTTAAAAATATTTAAAGTTGTTACTGATTAATCTAAGTCTTTTGGTCAACCGTGTTAACTAATCTTTTTGTGCCAATTGCCCAATTTGAACTCGAATCAATGGGTATTTTATCTAATTTGACCCGGTGTTAGCAAATTTTGGGTCGAAGACGAGTTTTGTACGCTTTTCTAATTGATGGGTTGGGTCGATGTGAACATAAGTTTTGGTCCATTTTTGGTCATTTCCTAAATAGTTTGACGCTATGATCATCGACCGTCCTTGGTTTGTAAGAATGAACATAAGTTTGAATTACTAACATAAAAAGGTGTACTGCGACGTCGATCAAAATATGTTGTACGGATGAACTTAATTATAGAAAAGTTATGTTTCAAAATGCCTTATTGCCTGCGGAATCGTTTATGTTACCATTTGATCGTATCACAATGGTACACTATCGGCCGTCCAATGATAGCATTTCTTATCACTAAAATAGTTTACAAGTCTGAAACATGTACTTAGAACTAAAAAACCCTTTGTTACAAACAAACAAAACCCTCGACGCGAAGCGCGGGCTTCCATTCTAGTAAACAATAATCATGGACTAGGTTTGTTTTTTTCCTAGTAATTCATTACTCAAAATTACTGAATTTTCAAACAGTGATTGGGCGGGCTACCTAGATTCTCATTGATAGCTAGAAGGTTATTGTGTGTTCTTAGGGAACTCGCTCATAAGTTGGAGGTCCAAAAAACAACGAATATGATGTCATGACAGATTTAATGTGTGAAGTACAGTGGTCGAATTACCTTTGTAATGATCTCGGTATTAGCTTTTCTTCCCCTACTACCTTGTTTTGTGATATCCAATGTATAATAGACTAGCTGAGAACGCAGTTGCTCATGAGCGAACTATTAGTGATCGTATAGTTTCTGATTGGATCAAAGTGGCATGTAACTAGCGAGAATCAACTTGGATATGTTTTCACAGAGTCTGTCAACTGATGTGTTTACAAATCTAATCTTCAAACTGAATCGTTTGGATAATCACGCTCCAGCTTCCCTAAGATATCCGGGCAGTTAAACAAAATGGACTATGTCGGTTGTATTCTATGCTTCTAGCTCATTCTTGGCCAATTCCAATAATTGGACATTGGTTCGTTGGCCTCTCTCCTATATTGGCATCAACGTGATCCCACACCATGCCGCATGATACGAATAATGAATTGATGGTAGCCAAATCAAATGGACTACCATGTTTCATGTCCCCCAAGCTTTGATACACGTGAATACGTGATTGATTACAAGCACAGCTGGAATCGAGATTTGCTGGATCGCAATTGGCATCTAGAGATCGGAAACAAGACAACCAGTTCGTTGGGGAATATATCATATTCATAAGACCATCCAACAAAATGCAAGAAAAGAACGCTAAGTAATATAAAATCGTTATGGAGTTCATAAAAACCCGGCTTCCCTTCAAACTTCAAGAGCCCCTAACCAAAAACATATACTACACAGCCAAAAACAAGCAGGACCAACTGCTGCATTCTCCCACACCACGTAATCAAAATGTTTCGAATCCTTAAGACATAATTGATAACCTTCCTTCTTCAGTGTTTGTGTGTCTTGTTGCACTCTTATCGAACACTTCTAGTACTATCATCCCATAGCATACTTCTGGGTCCAGCTGCGTGCAGTCGCCTCGTACTTGGCACGGTCTGTCTTGTACATGTGGGCAATCTCTGGCACCAAAGGATCATCGGGATTGGGATCCGTCAACAAGGAGCAGATTGAGAGAAGCACCTGAATCCAAATATCCATACAAAAGAGTTCATAGACACAGAAAATGATATTCATAGATAGTCAATCGGTGAAAGCTAAACCTCAAACAAGAGCTCAGAGATTCAGATACTGATATACAGACTACAGAGTCAATCCCGATCCCAAAATCAAGCTCACATACTTGCTGACAAACTCTTAACCTCAGTAAAGTGCGGAAGTACCATAAACCGATCGCCTTTATTCTTTCATCCTAATATGCTAATCTTATGTGCTGAGACAAGCTAATTACAATAACTCGAGAAAAGACCAAGGATGGATATCATACCACATTCATTTACGAAAAACCTCAAATGTAAGTCAACCTACGGATTTGAAATTTGCACAAGCCTACAATACTCAAGCTTAAATAAACCGTTGACGATTCGGTTATTAAGATCTGAACACGATACCTCCTCGTCAATAAGGTTCTTATACCATGTCAAGAACCAGTTCATCTCAATAACTATTTTTACATAGGTTAAAGAATGAACCTCTCATTATTCCCTTGCATTATGTTGGCAGGCTTTTGTGTGATTGTACCTACTCAAGCGGCAGTTTCAGAAATAGCATCCTCAAGAGAGAAAGAACTAGAGCATGAAACAGGGTTGTTTAAAGAAAATGAAGGGACTTATAGCTATCCTAAATAACCAAGGACGATAGGTGCTAGTCTTTTGGCAAAAGGAATGCAAATGCTTGCCATATACAAGTACCTCTCTTGCAGCTGCATGAGCTTCACGCAAGTTTCCTATACCATTCACCCTGCCTTAACATTTGGTGTAGTTGCAAAACCATGAAATAACATCCCCAATCATGAGAAATTGAGAAGCAAACATAAAACTCTTCGTGGGCAAGGGTAACAGATAAATGCAAACCTTTGAAATGGTAAGAGCAGGGCTCCACTGCTCTTTGAGGATATCTAGACAGATGCTTCCATTGCTGTTGATATTAGGGTGAAAGACCTTGGTCCTGAATGCTACCTACAAATCAAAATTCAACATCAACACCACAATTCAAGCACAGCAAAGTTGGTCAAAATTCAACCTTCCCTAATATAAAAAAATCCAGTGCAGAAGTTTGGATGGCCGTAAATCACCTTAGGGGGCTTGAAAGGATAATCTGGGGGGAAATGGATCGTAACCAGGAAAACACCTCCAGAATAGGGGCTTTCAGAGGGTCCCATAATCGTTGCCTGCCAGTGGAACATGTCCTCTGCTACAGGACCTGGACCGGAAACAAAAACCATACAACTTTTCAATTGAAGGTCATGGCAAACCGAATCAGCAGCACAAGCTAGCAATCAGCCGAAGGTAATAGATAACACAACGAGCAAACACCCCAAATCTAGCGATGGAGGTTGGGAGGGGGGAAAAAAAGAAGGCGACATCGCCTGACCTGCGCTGCAGGAACTGGGTGGATCCTTCTGCAAATCCTTGAGTTCCTTCAAGATGCGCTTGGACGCCATGATTGATCGATTGAGAAACCGAAGACAACACGAGCTGGTTTTGCGTACCTGCAAAGGAGGGCGAAATTTGAGCGAGTCGATATTGCAAAGGAAAACATTAAATAAAAAGAGGGGAGGAGCTCGACCAACCAACCGGAGAAAGCAGAAAGACAGAGGGGAAATCGCGATCGGGGAGGTCGGAGAGAAAGAGAGAATTGGATGGAAGCAGATCCACAGCCGCCCCCGCAAACCGCTCTGATTTCCGCAACCCTTTGTTTGGGTATTCTTCTCACGAATCCAGCTGAGGAGCAGAATCTGTTTCCCTCCTGGACTGCGCTCGCCCGCCACACAACACAAGGAAAGGAAAGAGAAGAGGAGAGAAGGAATCAGCGAGCGACTACGGGGTTTTACCTGATTAGGATATAATAATTTGGGATTTGTTTATTATAAAAAGTTACTGTACAATTATTGCTCGTCTTTTACCCAATCGATTACAAATTACAAATTCTTCCCTTTCTTTTCTTCGTCTTTATCATCCTACTTCTTTTCTTCCTCCTTTGCAACGGTTCGGTCCAGTCATAAGAACCACAGTCTGACCGTCTATTATTGTGTTCGGTCCACTCCAAATATCAGTTTGATCCATCATTTCTTTAAAAACTGTAAAATTTATATCAAGTACCGAATCACATTATACTCGGTCCGATCCAAACTTTGGTTCGGTGTGTTCCCGGACCGGACCATTACACACCCTTACTCCTTTCTACGAACTAGGACTCTCAAATCCAATTAGATTTTTCGATTAACCAATAACCAAAAAAATAATGAATTACTAATCGATTTAGCTATCGGTTTGAAATTGATTTGCATTAAATCGTTTTGGTTTGAATCAAATACAGGTAAGAAACCGATAAGGAGCTCTCTCTTTGTTAGTCTGCTTCCCTTCCTTTCCTCGTCCTCTGCAAATTAAACATGCAGAAGCAAACACCTTACCAAGTGAAATGGTTTGACTGGTGGTATAATCGATTTGTCCCGGTTCATACTGGTTTAAGAAAATATGTAAAAAGGTAAACAAAAACTATTAACAATGAATTTAATCATATATATAACATATTTGAAGACAATTTACTAACAATCCATTTTTTTGTTGAACATTACCATCCAAATTCATATTTAAATAAAAATATGATATTTAAAATAAATTAACAAATATTCATATTTAAATATAACATTAACGTCAATATCTAAGTATTTATATTTCAATACAACAAATAACTGCAAATTTTAACTTCTTAATTTATAAAATAATTTATTTATTATTTAAATTTACTAAGACGATGTCATTTTACTTAGATGTCGAAAATTGATAATGCCAGTCATATTAGTAGTGTACTAGTGTTCACACTAATAACGGAAACTGGTTAAACCATATTTATCTGGCCGACATTCCACCGACGTGACAACCGTACTAACACCAAAATCATGGAACTAATATCTTTCTTCTAGGAGCGGAGGTAACTCATGGCAATACCTCCTCCCCACCCCCCGAAAATTATAAAATAAGCTGGGTAGAGGTACTCATCGTTGTCAGAACAGAAGCGTGCAATCGATAATCCAAACCAACACGAACGAACACAAATTTAACGTGGTTCACTAACACAATGTGTGCTAGCTAATCCACGGGCAGGGGAGAACAAATTTCACTGATTTGAGAAGAGTACAGGTTACAAACTAACCTAACTGACCTTACTACAGACTAGGGTGATGAAGAGTATTTATAGAACTCTTCTCCTAATCTCAAACAGAAAACCAAACACCTTTTCCCAAACATACAAGGAAAAGGCCAAAACAAAGTCCAAACACAAACCCAAACAAAATAGGCCCAAAACACAAAACAAAACAAATTCAAATTCAAGTCATATTCTAACAATCTCCATCTTGACTTGAATTCTCTCTCAAATACCAAATGTACCAGACGCAACCAAAGTTGCCAGATGTACCAGACGCAACCTAAGTTGCCAAATGTACCAGATGTGATCTAAATCACCAAACTCAAACGCGATGCAAATCGCCAAACTCAGATGCAATCAAGATTGCCAGACATACCAAACTCCTCCAAATCTGCTGTACTAGAATCGCCCCTGCCTCCAGATGCCCCTAAGGGCGGTCAACAAATCAAAACATGCAGCAAGTCCAACCCATGTTGGGACTTTCCATGCATAACCAACTTGGTGTTATTTCCATCGATAACACCAACATCAGATTTACTTCCAACTCCAAACCTGCAACTCCAAATCGGCTTCTCAATCTTTATATCCTGAACAAACATCCTTGGTGATCGAAAACCCTGATCACCACCAAGGGCAACAAACAGATTCTCCCCAAACCACAAGCTATTACCGAACACAATAAATCCAAGTAATTGCTTCCAAATTCCAATTGATCCGCCAACTAGCTCTCTGCCACAAATTCCAAATTTTCTTCTCGACAAACCAAAGGATGCAACTCCAAACTGGTGAAAGATTGGAATCACCACCCAATACCAAATTGCCGCCGAACAAAGAATTAACGAACACCAGCAACTAATAAAAATTATCTCCGGAATTAGCTTCCACTCCCAATAGTTACTAAGCGCTGCCCAATCAAAATTGTAGCCCTTCTAACTATCAAACAAACTCCAATTGAACTCCACAAAACAAAACTTCAGTCCAGCGCCAAATTCCCAAAACCGCAACCAGACTCTGATACCACTTGTCAGAACAGAAGCGTGCAATCGATGATCCAAACAAACACGAATGAACACAAATTTAACGTGGTTCACTAACACAATCTGTGTTAGCTAATCCACGGGCAGGGGAGAACAAATTTCACTGATTTGAGGAGAGTACAGGTTACAAACCAAATTTCAAACGGATAAACCAAACAAACTAACCTGACTGACCTTACTACAGACTAGGGTAATGAAGAGTATTTATAGAACTCTTCTCCTAATCTCAAACAGAAAACCAAACACCTTTTCCCAAACATACAAGGAAAAGGCCAAAACAAAGTCCAAACACAAACCCAAACAAAATAGGCCCAAAACACAAAACAAAACCAATTCAAATTCAAGTCATATTCTAACAATCGTCTTTCGTAGTGTAGCCTAATGTTAAATTTTAGTTTTTTATGCAACACGAGAACGTAGGTTTGATGCATGACTGTAGCTTCTTTTATTAATTTTTGAATTTTGAAAATAACATAAATTAATTAGCAAATTCATAGTAAATTTCTTAATCCCTTTCTTGGAAAATTTTAAATTTACATATCACTTTAAATTATTCTACTAAAGTAAAGAATACACATAATTATTCGATTTTTGCCCCTGATGCCAAATTCTTGACTTCGCCCCCTGCTTTCTTCGATCCTTTCCCCTCTGCCTGCTCTTACCAGCCTCTTCCCACCGTTGATTTACAAGTGACACTTGTACCCAAAATTATTACCAACAATCCAAGACAGTAGAGGATCTGCAAGCTCCTTTGTGCGTTTATGGGATCCAATCCTTTTTCCACATCGCTGCGATGGAGACCAATAATCGCACATGCCTAGAGCCCCAGAATCATTTGCTTGTAGGGGTGTTTGAAATGGTTACCATGGTTATTACTAAATCAAATAAGGCTAAATTTCATTCACCATGGAATACAATATCATAACCAAATCATCCAAACTAATACAACAACCAAATTAACCAAATTAAATTTTAATCGATTTGGTTAACTGGTTAACCAGATTAACCAATATAAAATCACATTATCATTAAGTGAGAAAATTTCGGTTAATTTATCAAATTACCATTTATATAATGAATAAAACATAACAATCAACACATGGTTATAGTTGACCCTTAACATAAATACATGCAACTAAGACAATTATCTTACGGTTAGCATTCACCTAACAAAAATTTATCACAATGGTATGGGTTAATGAATTTTTGTGTTTGTTTGAATTGACTTAGTCTTTTAGCAGTTTTCATAGGCTGAAAATGACCTTGATTTCAAGTTTTCATCCAACATAATGTATGAGATTTATCTAAATTAGGTGTTCATATGTTGTGGTCTACACTCTACATATTCAAATATACATTATGGAACATTATCAAGCTTTATATTTTATGTCTAAAAGGGATGAACGTTTAACTCTTGAGTGGTTATTCAAAGTATTAAGTATGTGTATATATTAGATATATGGCTAATTCTTTATCTGGTTAATTTGGTTTGGCTGGTTAGAAGTGTTTGAAACCAAACCAAACCACCTAAACCAAACAAGCTAAAAACTTTAACCAAACCAAACCAATTATCCAAATTGACCAAACCAAATTATCCAAATAGTACTGGTTAAAACGGTTACCATTCTAACCGCGCTGTTTGAACACCCCTAAGGAATATGGCTTGGGGGTGCAAATTATAAATAAAATGAAATTATGGGGCTGTCTGGGATAAGAAATAAATTTGGACGAGGGTTTTAGATTTGAGGCTAGACGAGACGAGACGGGTAAGTAGGAGAAGAGAAGGGGAGTAAGGATACGACAAAATGATATAGGAGTGGACTGGTAGTGGTAGGTAGGGGTGTAAGTTTGGATTGCGGGTTGTGGATAATCCGGAAACCGCACCAACCCGTACCTATTGTGGGTAACCATACCCACAAGTTGTGGGTAGTGGATTGGGTGTGGGTAGTAAAATAACTATTTTTGTGGTTAGTGGTTATCCACTACCCACCGCGGATAACCCACATAATTCACAATAACCACACTAATTATATTTATTTAGTGAATTAACTTTATAATATAATAGTATGTGAAAAATGAGAGAATAAAAATTAAAGTAGCCACCAAATAAGAAAGACACACCTAATCAGTTTTATGTAAGAATTTTTTAGTTTATAAAACACTATAATCGATAGAGTGGAGAATAATCAATTCATTAAAAGTGAACACATTTTATAACTTTTATCAGTATGTTTTTTCTTTTGTGAAAAAAAATACAAGATCACAGCTCTCTGACACAAAAGTTGAATACCAAACTAAAAAGAAAAATCTCCAAGTTGAGTAAGATCGATGTACAAAATTGTATCTCCACGAACAACACAAGTTTATATCACTATAATCTAGCTACGAACAACAAATACGTTAGTGGCGAATCGAACTCTATGCTTGCAAAGATGGGTTTTTGCGGGTAACCACACCCAACCCGCACAAACCCACAGTGGGTAGTGGTTACCCACTAACCACTGCGGTACGGATTGTGGGTAACATAATTGTAAATTTGTGGGTGTGGGTACCCACAAAATGTGGGGCGGGTAGCCACACCCACCCCAATTTCCATCCCTAGTGGTAGGTAAGGTGATTGGTCAAGAATAGCTTGTTCGTACGATTTCAAGGGGGAACAATCAACATTGGCTTTTCTCCCATTAAGGGCAATAATGTCACGCTTAGTACCCTAAAATATATCACACACATAAAATATTATTGTGGTTTGTAAATTGTCAATCTATAAATTTGTAAATTGAACTCATCTTTTTAACCTTAATCAAATATTGTTATAGGTTGTTCAAATACTAATCCGAGAGAAAGAATATAAATAATCATAACAACTCAAGCACAAAATGTAACACACAATCAAATATAATTTTTATGGGACTTTGTTAAACAAATATTATTGGATATATGTACCATAGTCTGATAACTTTCCAACGGTACATATAAATTGATACTTAATAAAAAATTACTTTCTTTCAAAGCTCGAATATCGTTTAGAAAATTAGTAATGACGATATTGTAGCGAAACAAAACATACCCATCTCTTCCCACTCCACCTCTATAGTGTCAATAAATATTGCCACTTCTTTTTCCTTATTGGTCTCAAAAAAAAAAACACATATATAGTATAAACATTAATGAAATGGTCTAGTCTAGATATATATATGTACATATATTGATAACATATACCAAATCTACAATTTCAATTTGAGGTTAATTATAAAGTTCCTTACTTTTATTTGAAGCTCTAATGCTATTTTACCAACTTCTCACCAACCCACCTCTATAAATAGATCAACAATCCCCATGGAGAAGTCATAACTCATAAGTCATAATATAGACTTAACAAAAAAGATAGAGAATAATAATAAGAAGAACACAAAAGAGTGATAGAAATGGGGAGAGGTGGTTTAGGCGTTGGTGGATTACTGCTGATTATGTTGATTGTGATTAACATGGAGGTTAATGAATCAACTACATATGAGGTGGGAGATGAATTTGGATGGGATCCCACCATTGACATGGAGACTTGGCCTCGTGGCAAAACATTTCATGCCGGTGATATCTTAGGTAAATAAACAACAACCTTAATACATCAGAAGAATATAGGTTTATGTGTTGATTTTGTATGATTAGCTCATTAGCTTTCGTGAAAAAATTTAAGGTGTAACCAAAAAGTCTTGCTCTTTTGATTGTAGAATTCAAGTATGATGACCAGAAGTACGACGTGGTGGTGACGGACCAAGAAGGGCACGACACGTGTACCGTGACGCCGAGATCAGACGTACATAACTCGGGAGATGACCGTATCGAACTTCAGCATGGAGGTAATTATTTCATCTGCAGCATCTCGTCGCTCTGCAGCGCTGGATTGAAGATGGCCGTCTCCGCTGACTTCTAGTCCGTAAACTTTCGTCTTCTTTCATTGCAATGAATCAGTAAAATGTCTTTCATGATGTAACCAAAAACCTACTGCGTATAGGTTATATCAACATTTACATCACATTCGAATAAAAATCACAAATGAGACAAGTTGGGAATTTTGTGTTCAATCAAAACTCGACTCACAGAAATACAATCTTGAGGGCCAAACCATCCAGAATTCCCATTCATTTCTCACTAGAAACAATTCAGAGTGTACAGCTACGGTTATCTACATAGTTCGCCCAATTGAAAAGCTGCAATCATTATGGTATCGTTTGCTTGCAGTTGCGGGATTTGGGTGATGGATTTGGCACCCAAATCCCAAGCATCAAGAACTTGACATAAATTCATTGTTTGCTAAAAGACACAAATCTATGGAGCCCATGGATTTGGGCACTTTTTTTAGATCCAAATCCGTGGATCCCACGAATTTGCAAATTCCACATTTCATTTGAGATTTGATAATGGAAGGGGGAAATGTGAGACAAATCCATCATAAATCCATAATAAAAACTAACTAAACAAACAATGTACTCTTCCAAATTCATAATGCAACAAATCCATCATAAATTCAAAGGTTTTGAAAACACAAACCCTCATTTTCAAATCCAACAAGCAAACGAGACCTATACGATGATGGAATGAAAGGTTTTAGTTTTATTTGGCTTTTCACTGGTAAGTGAAGGACATGGACAAATATGATATAGCTACCTGTCTGGCAGAAACCTTATGTTCAGGATTGCAGTCGGGACTAATCCCAATTCCTTTAAGTCCTAATCGATTGGCCGGGAAAGCACATACTCGAACCTGTTGCAGCAAAAAAGAGTGATTGCCCAAAAACCAGAAAGCAACTTATAGGAGCAACACGAACTACATCGAGAATTAATTCCGACTACAGTCCAAGTTTTTAAACTCTAGCCTGGTGCAGTATAGGGCAAGTATTTAATTATCAAACCTGGGTCGGTCCATGTACCCCTATTTCAATCGTTTGTGTTGTTATTTAGCAAAACGATTTTGGGCTTAAAACTAAGAAAACTACAAAATAAACAAACAAGTAAAATAAATCGAGGAGAATTCTATATGAGAGGACTTCACTTGGGTATTGCTTCCCCTAGTCTCGTATTAAGAAAGCATGAAAGAAACTCTAGTGTAAAGGATGTGTTCATATACCGCGAGGCGGATGCAACAAGCTAGGAACGAGCCCTCCTAGTCGATCAATTAAGGATTGCTACTATAAGCTAGCAAACCTAACTCTGTTAACCGCTTGGCTAAGGATTGCAACAATAAGCTAGGAGGCCTAGCTCTCTTAATCAAACAAACAAAGGAAACCATAACTCTCTTAGTTGACCAATTAAGGATTGTTGCATTAAGTTAGTAGACTAACTCTTTTAACCTTTCGGCTAAGGATGACAACAATAGGCTAGACGATCTAGCCCTCTTAACTAATCAACTAAGGATTGCAAACCAATCACTTGGAACTTAATCCGGACCACGGAGAGACCAATCATGAAAGAACCATGACACTACTCCGATACTTGAGGTTTTGGCCCTAGATTAACCTAGAAGGGGTTACCCAAGAGGCTAGGAGGTCAAGATCACCTGTGTCTGCTTCAACCTAACTCATCAGATTGCATTCAGATACAGGTCCAAGTTTACAGGGGTAGAGGTAGGGGTGTTCAAATGGTTACCGTGGTAATAACCAAACCAATTAAGCCTAAATTTCATTAACCATGGAATAAAATGTCTTAACCAAACCATCCAAATTAGCACGAAAACCAAATTAACCAAACCAAAGTTTAATTGGTTTGGTTAATTGGATAATCGGATTAACCAAATAACATAACATTACATGAAAACAATTATCCTGTTAATGAATAAAACATAACCATATGCTATTACTATCATAAACTATCATTATATATAAGCAATAATAATAAGAGTAACCATCCATGATTATCATCATCATTCAATTAATACATCATTCATCATCTCTGCACCTAATATAGTTAGCTTACAACGGACCCCTCAACATAAATACATACCAATACCCCTCATCGGGAAGTTAAAGCTCTACAACAAAACACTTAAATTATACCTAGTTTGAGGTGGTTGTCATGATATTGTACGTAATCCTAAAGTCTAGTGGCTGTCCAAAATGTTTTGGTTTAGTAAATAGGCAGACCCATTTAATTTTTGACCCATAATGTTTTGGTTTGTTGTGCACATGGAAATAAAATAGGGAATCACGAAAGTTTGGTTTGGTTGGTTGCATAGAAGTATAAATAATTTTGTATATTAGGTGTATCATTAATTGGTTAATTGGTTTCATTGGTTAGCAGTGTTGAAACCAAACCACCTAAACCAAATAAGCTAAATTGTTTAACCAAACCAAACCAATTATCCATATTAACCAAACCAAATTAATCGAATGTTACCGATTAATATGGTTATCATGGTAACCAATCCGTTTGAACCAGTGTTATTAAAGCCGAGCCGCTCGGCCTGACCGGTAAAACCGCCACTCGGTTACAAAATCGGCTCGGAACAGTCTAAAAGCCGCTTCGATTTTATGTAGTGGTTGGCGAGCGGCCGAGGCGGTTAGCCATTCGAGCCGATCGAGCCGCTCGTCCGGTTTTTGCCATTCAACCACTAAATTTAATTAAAAAAATTGTAGAAAATTGAAAATTGAAAAAAACAAAAAACGTCGGGCTCTCAAATTGAATCCTTATTTCCATTTTACAATTTTGAAGGAAAGAGACGAGCTCCGATTAGGAAATGTCCACTACTTATACTGATAACGTTTATTAGGTACCGATTCTCTAACGGTTTTTAAACGGTCTAATGCCGGTTGGACCACTAAAATGCGAGCCGTTCGCATTACCGGGTCATGCTCCGATTCGGTTCTGACAACATTGGTTTGAACACCCCTATTTGCTTGTCATCATCATCACAAAGCCTAATGCAGCGGCTCACGAGAATCGAGATCAACTATTTCCCCAGCAAGGCATCAAGTCAGCAACCCATCTAGGTAACACGACATAGATTTTATCTCTCCTCAGAAAAACAGTCATCCTAAGTCCTAACCAAATCTTCACTCATGAATTTACAAATTGGATAGGTTCAACGTCGATTAAATATACAGAACAAATTAAGCTCTGTGTGAGAGTGCGAGAGAAATGATAGCCTCTAGGCCTCAGTCGGTTTCTTATTAGGTTTCGGTTCCTTTTAACTGAAATCGAACCATTAAAGAGTTCATAGTTTTGATTACTCATTATCTTTTTTTGGCTTTGGTTGGTTCAGGAGTTAATAGTTTTGAAGTGAAACGAACCGAACCATTTTTTCACCCCTAATTCTAATTGGGAATATGAATGATACTTTTTTATTGGTATCTAACTCATTGTCATCCAATTCAGCCAAAAATTATATTGATTGGTAATTATTGTAAATTAATATGTTATCGTGGTGCTAATAACAAAAGGAACTAATAACTTGAGTAACTACAGCTTATTAGCCATTTATTTTCATTTAAACAAATTTTTTATTTATCAAAATGCGAAAATTAGCCATCCATTAACTTTGGGACGGTATTCAGTCACAACCATTTCTTTGTGGGTTGTCATTTGCACAATCCCCTATACACCAAATGTATTTTTGGTATAGAGAATTTAGGGAGAGGAAAAGGTAATTCATGCATGATTTAAAGGCACCACCTAGCGCGTTGCCTTCCACCAGCAGAATTCTTTCGGCAGACTCCCTCTGGCCACCTAGCAAACAAAGTACAACGACATTAAAAAAGGCACCACAACATTAAAAAGTACCACTACACTAAAAAAAAGTAACACTACGAAAAGACTAGCACTATTGAATAAAAAAGTATCACTGCATTTAAAAATGTACTAGTACATCGATAACAATACCACACTGATACACTAATAAGGTTACTACTCCATCGATAACATTACTAGTACACTGATAACGTTACCACTCCATCGATAATAAATGTTACCACTCCATACATTATCAGTAAACTGATAACATTGCCACTCCATCGACAACATTACCATTACATGATAACCTTACCACACATGGACAAAGAGACATATGGGTTAGGAGAGAGATATTCACATGGTGGTGGCGGCGGTAGAGGAGGCTACCTTCAGGATGAGGACGGTGGGAAAGAGTAGGGCGACGTCTAGTGGGAGAGAGGAGGGCGTCGGAGGGAGAGAGGAGGGCAACGACAAAAGGATGATGATTATGGGATAGACGGGTCCGGCAACGAGAGGAGGGCTACGACAAGATGAGGATGGCGGGAGAGAGGGGTCCGCATCAAGGGAAGCGACAGGAGGTGGGCAACGATCGAGGTGGAGTTCTTCGCAAGGAGAAATAGAGGAAGAAAAAGAATTTGTAAGGATTAGAGAGGGCATAGGTATATGTAGACTTATGAGGGGTAAGTGATTCTGTGTGGACTAACATATCATCCAAAGATGCTCTTAGCCTAATTTTATCCATACATTTAAAAAAGAAGGGATGATAATGGATCTCATGGTATCTAGAGGGTGTTGTGAAAATGACAACCCAAAAAGCATTGTCAACCTAACTCATTCCATTGACTTTCCATTCGTTCAGCGTTAATTGCATTGAGGTTTCCATTAACTTTCCATTTGGTCTACGTTAATTGCGCTGAGGTGACCCTTAAGGGCCTAATTGGGAAAGTGAGGTGTCTTGGCACGTCAACATGGACATTTTATATTTACTACTTTAATTTAAATTAAATACCATTTTCAACGCACCATGCCATTTTGTCAGGGTCAATAAATTAGTAAAAAAACTCAAATCAACCCAACGAGACTTGTGGACCAAGACCCAATTAGTGAGTGGGTCGAGTTGGGTGCGACGAATTAAAGGAACAATGGGCTTTAGGACCTAACCGATATTAAGAAGAGGAATCGGGTATGAGGCCCTGCCGAAAGGCAATGAAAAATGAAGAGTCGAGCTGGTGGCCCAACAAAGTAGGGACGGAATGAAGAAGGGCTTTGGCTCGTTAGAGGAAGAGAAATTATTTCCTCTGAGGTGCTGGGCGCGATGAGAGAGGGGCCATCTGCTAG